ACGCTCAACGGAACGAAAATCTCCGAATGTCTTAGTTACGTCTATCTATGTCGTGAAATCAACATGAAGAACGACCTAGCTCCAAAGTTGAGCAAGAGGAAACGAGCGGCTTGGGAAGCCTTTAAGAGCATCAAAGATGCACTGAAAGGACAAAAGACATCCGACTCCGGGCCCACCTTTTCGACTCGACGATTATCCCTGCCCTAACTTGTGCAAGTTTACGTCAGTACCTTATTATTAAGATGAGAAGGTGAATGTACACTGTGGTAATTTTTTTGACATGAGCAGTACTCATGGTTAAGACGAGAACTTGAATGTACATGGTGGTAATTACCACCATGTTATTACCACCATGTACATTTGCGTTTTCATCTTAATAATAGCCAAGTTTTTACGACTTGGCCCGGCGCAATTCCTGGTCGAATCGTGTGGCATGTGCAGCCCTTGCCAGACTCTCTGGAGCTGAAATGACTATTTGATCGGCTGAGTTCTCCGGACCCACTCTGTTCGTGTCCACTAGCGCGGAAACGATCCCACTTTCTCTGCCCCGATTAGTCGTCGACTGCACCAATACTTTCGTTGCAAGACTGCACGAGCGAAAAAGTACTGTATTTGGCGACTAATCGGGCAGAGAAGATGGAATCATCCCATGCTGGTAGATGCGCTCGGCGTGGGTCCGCGGAAGTCGACCGATTAATTGACAAACAAAGACGGAAGAACTCAACGTTTCTTGGAAAAGGGTGAAATGCAGAGAGGCTACTCAGTAAAAGGCATCGCATCCTCAAGATTCTAATGGTTCACACTGCACTGTATAGAGTTGCAGATTTTAATACCTACCAAACTTCTAATTGAGACGGAGAATTGCAACAACTCATCCGCCTATGGCTGCGACGCGATGAAGATTTCCTTCTTCGTCTTCTTTTTGGATTCATGTGCGAACGTCTGCGACGTGATCATCGGCCACTCGATCTTCGTCTTCTATCACGTCGAGCTGAAAAGAGAGGCTTGTAGTTGGCTAACTTGCTCTCTGATCTCCACTTAGGAAAAGCTATCCCAGGGCTCCAGAGAGACTCAATTCGAGCGTTTCTAAGAACATTTATTACTAAGACAAAGATTCGAGACAGCAGCCGCACTCACATACCCCTGCTTCGAAGACGTTCTTGAATATCATCTCATGATTGAGCGTACACGAGATCCGTGGACAAAGCTTATTCGGCTACGTATCGACAAGCCGAACCTTCTGTGGAGGAGCATCGCTCAAATGGGGACTCTCACTTGATGATGAGTTTATATAAGGGGCAGTTATCAGTGATATTGATAGTGCGGTGATAATCACTTCTTTTTCACCGGGAAATCACCCTGTAGTGGTTGTCATCATTATCAGCTTGCTCGAAGCGTAATAACATTCGAAAAGCGACTTTCCTCTGACTTCCACTCTACTAATCGATGATATTCTCATGAATGATTAGAACTGCACGAGATATCAATTAGATTTTATGTGGTGCTAATGTTTCGACGTCTTCGTTTTCTTTCACTATTTCCTTCTGGAACTGAGGGCACAAGTTGACGATCTACACCTAGGAAGAGGTAGACAACATTCGTTGTATCATGGAGAATGTTGTCTACAGTGCTCAAGCAGTATTTCATTACATTGATGAAGAGGACAAGTTTTCAATCAAGCGATGAACACGAGGAGAACAATAGATGCTAGAAGTGCTGGGATGCGCGCCGACGCTTTGACGAGACACTTACAGCTTTGAGAAAGGCTATATAGAAAATCATCCACCAATACTACTCGGATCTCTTAGCTAACCATGTTCTCTTACCGTCATATAAATTGAAAGACGATGAATATGTCGTCCACCGGTCCTCCCTTCTGAACTCCGACATGCTATATCATCGGTGAAGAACAGAAGAACACCGATTAGACCACAATACCCAAAGAACCTAACGTCATTTCCATCAACACCCTGGCTCGGCTCTTCACTCGCTACCTGTCAGAATGCAAGGTCCCCAGTCAATGGAAAACCAGCAAGACCGTATTGTTTTACAAAAAGGGACATCTTCACGACACAGGCAATTATCGCCCAATCTGCTTGCTGTCTGTTGTTCATAAAGTCTTCACTCGGGTCATCCTAAACAGGACAGAACGTTGGAGAAGGAAAGCCATGCGAACAAGCAGGGTTCCGAAAAGGATTTAGTACCACAGACCCTATCCATGCAATTACAACACTGATCGAAGTTTCACGAGAGTACAAAATACCGCTCTGTCTTACCTTCATCGAACTTGAGAAAGCCTTGATTCAATGGAATCAGAAGTGGTTATAGAGGTTCTGGATAACCAGGGCGTCACGACTCGGTACATAATCATCGTTCGTGACCTTTATAAAGATTTCATTACCAAAATATCTCCATTCTATACCAATATCACTCTTGATTCAAGAAGAGGGGTTCGACAAGGCGATACAGTTTTGCCAAAACTATTCACTGCCACCCTACAAAACGTCATGCGAACAATAGAATGGGACGATATGTAGTGAAAATTGACGGTCGACAATCAAACCATCTTCTCTTTGCTGATGTCAACGTAACGCCTGTGGAAAGATAGGTCTTCAACTAAATCTGACGAAAACGATGTTCATGAGGAACGGATGGGTTCTGAATGCCCCATTCAAGCTCAACGGAACGAACGTCTCCGAATGCTTCAGTTACGTCTACCTAGGTCGTGAAATCAACTGATAAACGACGACCTCGCTCCAGAGATGAGTAAGAGGAAACGAGCGGCTTTGCGCGGGATCAGACCATCACCCTCCATCGCGCAAGGTTCCGTTTTTCGAGGAGAGGAGAGAAAGCCGCTAAATTCAAAGAACGAAGTCCCAGAACTACCATAAACTGGGATGTATTCAAATCATTAGTCGGCTCTTAGGAAGATACTGTTGCCGACAACATCGACGAAAAATACGATCGACTCGTTGAACATTTTCACGTTAGCGCTATGAAAGCCGAGAGTCCTAAGGTCACGATGAGACGCTTGTCTCCGCAGACATTCGAGCTGATACGTCAAGGTGGAATCGTACAAGCTGCAGGCAACCGAAACCTTACGTCCGAACTTGCGAAACGCTGCAGAGAAGAATAAAAGAAGACCTGAAAGAGAGAAGAGCAGCAGTTATGTCAGAAGCTGCAGAAGCTGAGAAGAGCACTCGCAGAGCCCAGCGAGGCTTCGCCAACTATAAGTCCAAGATGATTGCACTCCGATACCCTGACGGGACACTTACAGCTTCGAAAAGGGCTATGGAGAAAATCAAATACTACTCGGATCTCTTCGTTAGCCATGTCCTCTTACCGTCATATAACTTGAAAGAGGATGAATATGTCGTTCCACCAGTCCTCCCTTCCGAAATCCGACATGCTATATCGCCGGTGAAGAACAGAACAACATCCGGTCCAGACGGAATTAGACCAGAACACCTGGAGAATCTGCCGCCAGTTCTCATCAACACCCTATCTCGCCTCTTCACTCGCTACCTGTCAGAATGCAAGTTCTCGCTTCAATGGAAAACCAGCAAGACCGTACTGCTGTTCAGAAAGGGAAAACATCACGACATAGGCAATTATCGTCCAATTTGCCTGCTGTCCGTTGTCTATGAACTCCTTACTAAAGTTATCCTAAACACGATAGACAGAACACTGGACGAAAGCCAGCCATGGGAACAAGCAGGGTTCCGAAAAGTATTTGGCACCATAGACCACATCCACACGATTACAAGACTCACTGAAGTTTTACGAGAGTGCAAGCAACCACTCTGTCTCACTTTCATCGATCTGAAGAAGGCCTTCGATTCAGTGGAAACAGAAGCGGTTACAGAGGCTCTGGATAACCAGGGCGTCCCTACTCGGTACATAATGATGCTCTGTGAGCTTTATAAAGATTTCACGACCAAAATATCTCCATTCTACAACAATATCACCATTGACGAAAGAAGAGGGGTTCGACAAGGCGATACAATTTCGCCAAAACTATTCACTGCCACCCTACAAAACGTCGTGCGAACATTAGAATGGGACGATATGGGAGTGAAATTTGACGATCGACAATCAAACCATCTTCGCCTTGCTGATAACAACGTCCTCGTACATCAGGCATCAGCTAAAGGGAACGAATATTGACCGATTTCGATAACGCCTGTGGAAAGATTGGTTCTCAACTAAATCTAACAAAAACAATGTTCATGAGGAACGGATGGAATTCAAATGCCCCATTCACGCGCAACGGAACGACAATCTCCGAATGCTCCAGTTACGTCTATCTAGGTCGTGAAATCAACATGATGAACGACCTAGCTCCAGAGTTGAGCAGGCAGAAACGAGCGGCTTGGGGAACGTTTAAGAGCATCGACGATGTAGTGAAGAGGACAAAGAACATCCGACTCCGTGCCCACCTTTTCGACTCGACAATTATCCCTGCCCTAACGTATGCAGCAGAAACCTGGTCGCTACGTAAGCAGGATGAAAAATCACTTGGAGTTATCGAACGCACAGTCGAAAGTCGATGCTGGGAGTATCCCGTATCTCGCAAATGAGAGAAAAGATCCGAAGTTCCTACCTATGTCAACGATCGAAAATCAGAGACGCCGTCCTACACGACATGGATTTCAAAATAAGGTGGGCCGGACACGTGATGCGCTTCAACGACAACCGATGGACGAGAGCCGTTACCGACTGGATTCCTCGGGACGTCAAGCGCTCTAAAGGAAGACCACTGACCCGTTGGTCCGATTTCTTCATGAAAGCTAGAGAAGAAAGACGTGATGCTCAGCGAATCCCTAGAGCGAGGAGGACCCACTGGGCTACTCTTGCACGCTATAGGGAAAAATGGAAGAGTTGCTGGTACCCACTCGAATCACTCGACGATCAAAGAGATGACACGTGATACAGGTGATAGCGGAAGGCAGCAGGCGCAATTCAGCGCAAAGACGTTACATATAACATAAGAAAAATGTGCCCCAGTGGTGTAGTGGTAGCACGCGTCCTCGATGAGGATGGAACATGTGTTCGATTCCCGCCTGAGGCCGTAAATTTGCTCCCCATTCAATTCTCTTAGGTGTATGTGAAACATCTAACACTGCGATAAAAGCAGTAAAAGTGCTAGGATTCTGGAGCAAAAACTTTATTTCTTCATGATGTTTGATCACGCTTGGTCAACGTTCAGAATTTCTCTTAAACTAAGAAGATTTCGAAGAAAACAGCAACAGAAAACCTATAGCACCTTCCCGTAGTCTTAAGTCGGATCCTCAATTTTGTGTCAGCCATAATATTATATGGCATTCTTTAAACGGATTCGTTTCATGCGGGTTCCTCATTTCACTCGATGGCAGCTTCTTGATCATCTCCTATGTACATGGAATATTTACATGGAGAATGTTCAAAACGATGTGATCGTTGTTCGCATACAGATCACCTCAAACGAAGTTAAAAATGGAAGACGAATGCATGGTGCATCCCTCAGGAACTGATCAACGCCGAGAGCTTTATGTTTGTATCGTTTATTGTTTCATTCAGTTTCTTTCTCTACAAATCTGGCGGTTGCCAAAAGAATGTGATATGTTGGAGAATGTTTTAGTAGCTTGGACAAACACAGGAATACTGCCGTTATATCGTCGTTCGCCACTGAAATGAAATAGGTTACCTGGGAAAGACGTCAATATAGACACCATGCATTAACCGACTACCTCACATTGCAAAGTCGTCAGACAACATTTTGAAGAACTTGGCTGGACCGCGGTACCACAATCACAGTAAATTCCTTGATTTTGCTACATCAGACTAGCATCATTTCCAAGCTGTGAAGCAGCTTCTGCGGCACAAAAATTCAAAAACCACAGCAAGCTCAAAAGTAGCCTCTTGAAGTTCTTTACACGCTATCCTCATTCTTTCCGGAAGGAGAGCATTCGATTTCTTCTGGGCAAACGGTTGCGCATTATCGATCATGATAACGATGATGCTGTTAGTTGATTGATTTCGTTGAATAACTGACAACTGAATTAACAAAAGTGTCGAAATGCAAACGAAATGATGAGACAACCCAATCCAGAAAGGTCGGCTTTGATATGATCGCGGCATACGTAAATGATTATTTTCCTGCATTATTAGGCTGAAATAAGGTGAGTAACATGCATTACTCGGCTCTCGGCATCTCTGTCTTTAGTGTCGTATTATTTGATGTTATGGTCTATAGGTGAATTTTCATTCATGCTGTGTGGGCGTTCGCTGAACTATCAAGTGGAATTCAGAAAAATGCAAGCAATTCAGAATTCAGTCCATTTTGTATACCAGAGAAAAAACGAAGAACGACTGTTCAGCGTTTTCAACGGTATAGTGATCTACTTCAGTTCAGTGAAGTCGGCCAACAGGTTTTCCTGAATTTGAGGTGAGTAGTTCATTGACACCCTCTTATGGTCTTCGCCCACCCACATCATCTGTGCTCGGTAGTAAATCTACTGATCTCGAAAACTGTAAGAAAACGAATTATGTGTTGAAATGAGAGACCGTAAAATTGACCATAAAGTCAATACCGTCCTCTCCGGCAATTTCAGGGTTAATACTTGAGTATTAGTTGTCTTGAGAGTGTTAGAATAGCTTACCATTGTCGGCTACCCTCGAAATTCACTAGATCAGACACTCAAATTTTATCAGTGGTTTTTGTTTTTGCAGCTTTTTCAGTAAAATAGATGTAATAAAACCTAATGAATCTCTCGCAAGGGAGCGCTCAGAATCTTCTGAACGACTACATTCTTATCCATTATTTTGGAACTTTTTCATGAGACAAAAGGCAGCTCTTCGTGCATCGCCAATGTACAATATCAAATGCTGTCATTACTGTTTATACTCACCAACTTCCATTGTGGATATAAGTAATATCTATAAAAGCAAGCACATTCATTGGCATTGATTTCAGAGCACCCAAAATGTGGATGCCTGAAGACGGGATTTGGCAACTTTTGGATAGGCGAATGAGTGAATTTTTAGTTGAAACTCAAAGTAAAATTAATTCCAGCTTCTATTCCAAACCTTACAATATTATTTATTTCACAGCACAAATTCGGCCTGTAAAAAATGTATGTGGAAACTTCTCAATTAGTTCTTAAGTAAAGCAGTAAGCACAAATTCATCACATTGTGCATTTAAAATATAAAAGCATTTTGAATGCATTGCAAAGGCCCAAAAACGAACCGTAAAGAGGAGTGTCTCGTAATTAGGCTAACCTCGAACCATACTTCAGGCTGATCTTTCCGGCCTGGGTTAGGCACAGCCCACTGATGCACTGACCCTAAGCGGTCTTCAATGAATAATCGATAGACCCAAACATTAAAACGGCGAGTGTTTGAAATGAAGTTTTTACTATGTCATCCAAAAATTCGTTTCTTACGCTTTCTGCTAGGTTTATGGAGCTTTGGCTTAGTGCATTGTGGATTAGTATGATCTTTCCAGGCTCTGGAGAAGGCGACCTGCCGAAACGATAGCCACCTCGAACAATCTATGTTCAAGCTGCATTACAAACTATACTGTTGCATGTTTCGCTGGTATTCAATAAATAATATCAATAACACTTCGGAACGGCTAAACAGAAGAAAATACTCATTTCAATGTAATTTACTGCTCACCACTCTGATTGTTCAACACCATATGGTTGCTAGTTTATTGATAGTGTACTGCCACAATGAACATCGGTGAGATATAAATGTCTGTCTCATGAACATCACAGTTCACTTTCAATTTCAGCTGACAGTGACCGTTACCGTGTACAAATGCGAACCAAACGGACCCGATCTTAACAATCGAAGCGCTCTGTCCACAACATTTTGCCACATCGACCTCGACCAATTAGCCATGATGATGTTCGTAGTCTACATAGAATTTTATCTTTATAAAACGATGTTATGCCATAGGAAAACCGTCCAAACCGTGAGAGTTCCTGAGAGGGACAAGTGTTTGCTGTCGATGGTCCTTGCAACATCCTTGCATTTCATCCTCCCTCCCCCATTCATTGGGCAAATTCCCGTCACCGTGCTACCGACGTGAATACAGCTTTCCATCCTAACCACTGCTAGAAACTATAAGTCTTAGTAACGCTTCTTCTTGTGTGCACTAGACAACTGGAAAAATCAAACAGCGTTGAACATTGATTTTTTATTACTTTTTAAAGCCTGCAAAACTTCACTTATTAACACACTAAATACTATATCATTCTGAAAATAAAATATGTGTAACATTTGAAAAAATTTCTCAATTTGAAAGATTTTGATTTTATGGCTGTATGATAGTTTTCCTCAAATCCTAAGATAATTTATAATAAGTTTATAGAAAATATCTTTGTTTGCAAAAAAAAGTGCAGCCATGCTCTTTGAATACCCCTTATAGTTTGGATTGGAATTTTCTAAATGAATGTCCACTACTGAAGACTTACGCGTTCCCCCTGGTTCCATGAAGATCTGACATCGCAGTGGTTCGTAAGTGGTATTAACTTGAAGCTGACTCAAAATGTTGGAGATCACAAAATCAGGCAAGAGTGCTCTCCGGCCTTCGATTTCGAGAACATCGACCACCTAAAACGTGAATCTTCACTATTTCGAGGAGTGGCTTGGAATTTTTTTATAACGGACATATGTGAAATTTGTCAAGTTAGATTAGCTCTAGAGTCTGAAGAGCTGTGAAAAATTGCAGCTCATCTCATACGTCTTTTCAAAATTCACGAAAAAGAATAAAATGCCTAATGTAAACTCACTGTTTGCATTGCAAAACGTTGTCCAAGTGCCTGAACCGCCTCCTTGCTGGTTGCAATACCAGGGACTAAGGCAGAGGTTGCTTTGTTTTCTGTGTAAACCGCGATAATAGGTAAGTTGCTGGGCCCGCTGGCAGTGAAGGTCCTAGTGCTCGCTGCAACGAGATTTCTTAGTTTTTGTAGAGAATGATTGTAAATTAAATTATTAAGAACCTCGAAAACTGGCTCTCCTCGTCATTCAATAACGCTTTCTTTTATAATTTAGCTAACATCACCTGGTTGAAAAATAAACTTTATTTGGCCCATCTTTCGACGTATTCATTTTGCTTCAGATCCGATAATTCAAGTCCATCGTCCTCAATTATTCGTTTTCGTTGTCGTTCAAGTCGACTCTTTCTCGTTGGAGCACCGCCCGAATGGGAAACCTCACTCGGCGATGCTTATTGATATAGGATTGTTCTTAAAAATAAAGTTTCTCAATCGACTGTTTCAGAAATCTCGTTTAAGAACAGCGGTCTACTCTGAGAACTATTTCAAGCCTTTTCAAGGTTCAGCGTGTCACTGGCTTATGTACATTTCGGCAATCTTTTAGAACATATCGATGCTCTCAAGTGATATTCAAACGACAGATTGAAGACGAATATCCATATATCCTTTGATAAGCGCATGCCATCGACTTTGAAAAGGCTCAGACAACATTTCAAGTTGTCAAGTTCTGGCATGTTTTCATTTGAAACACTATCAACCTATTACTAACGCGGCAACTTATATAGCAATTAATTTGTATACGATAACATAGCTGTGAGATTCTCTATTCGACCGATCTTCTTTTGCAAAAAATTGGACGTGCAAAACAACGAAGACGAAGACCACAACGATGGCTAACAGCAGTGGAGAATCAAATCTAATCATGGGCTCCGAGATGACGAAGACTCCAAAACGTTAGCCCATTAAAGTTCATTTATAATCCCCTGGCGTTAGCTAAATCATAAAAGTCACTGCGTTGAAAAACTTCATAGTTTTATCTTTCCTCTTATATAGAATCAAAAACAATGATTATAGGTAGTGCAGACTGCGACAACAATTAAAGAATGATGGAGTGCTAGGCATGCTCATTCTAATTAGAACTCTTAACCATCTAAGAATGGGAATATTTGTAGATCCACAACAATTCGTATTCATTACTTTGACCTCCAGGAATCACTCCACATCCAAACACGTTGAGATTGAGACTAGCAACAAAATCATAAATGGAGAGCTCGAAGGTCTTGCCTCGTTTGTAAGGATAATCA